GAAGGACGAGGAGGAATCCAGCCTGCAGACCATCCCCATGTGCTGGTGGTGGGCCACCATCAGCATGACCACGGTGGGCTACGGGGACACGTACCCCATCACAGTGCTCGGCAAGATGCTGGGCACCGCGTGCATCGTGTGCGGCATCCTCGTGGTCGCGCTGCCCATCACCATCATCTTCAACAAGTTCTCCAAGTACTATCAGCTGCACAAGGCGCTGGAGGCCGCCGTGCGTCAGGCGGACGAGCAGAGCTTGAGCGCAGAGGATGTGCCCGGCGTCAACATCCGCGACTACTACGCGCGCAAGATGACATCGCTGCTGCGCAGCGTGGCCACGAGAGGCGGCGGCGGCGTCGACTACGACGAGGACAGCGACGCGAGCGGCCGCTGGGCAGCCGAGAGGGGCCCTCGGCTCCGGGCGAGGTCTGGCGGCGAGCGGAGGGAGCTGTCGTGATGGCCGGCGGTGTGCGGACTCTTCGATGCCGTGCGCGCGCGCGTGAGCAAGGCGGCCCAGCACGCTTCTTCTGTCTGAAGTTCCCCCACCACCACCAACACCACAACCACTCACTTATGGGGTTGTTTTCTTGGTCCTCGTTTTCACTCATTTCGGCCCTGCGCCATCATCTCCTAGGCCATTCCACTGTTGATTTGAAGCTTTCGTGACTGCAGGAATGCATCATCTTTGGTTCTTTCGGTAAAGTCACGTAGGTATAAAAATAAAATAATATAAATCACGACGTTTTGGGCGCAACACAGGTGGAAATGCATGACCTGCTGCACCTGATGACGGACGCTTGTGTTGCGCCCGAAACGTCGTGATTTATTTTATTTTATACCTACGTGACTTTACCGAAAGAACAAACGAGTATGCATTCCACTGTTGCCCCCCCCCCCAAATCCCCAATCATCATCCTCCTCTGTGTCCACCTCCTCCTCTTCCTCCTCCCTGTGTCGTACTCCTCCACCTCCCTGTCTCCTCCTTCTCCTCCTCTGATGCCACTCATCGTTCTGTCGTGGACTATCGTCTCCGCGTCCACTCCACTGTCGTTCGCATTTTAGTTTCACCACTTCGAATCGCCTTGGCTCCTACCTCCTCCGGCCCTGGTGTTTCCATGTTAATCTCCTTGCTTCCGTTTGCCCCTGACACGGTCCTATAGCCATCAAAGGCGACTGCCAAGCGAGCGGCTTGTCCGACACGGGTACCAATCTCGCCTTATTTCCTCCTCATCCGTTCACTTCTGATCTCGATCGCGTCTCGTCCACTCTGAGAGATCAAATCCCGCTGACGACGGCGGGAGCACAGATGTCCCCCTGCATCTGAGCACCAACGATGTGCCCCGTTGCTTTTGTGCGTAGGCAGTGAAGGAGACACCCCCGTACCGAGTGCGTCAATGAATCCACGTTGTCGTTTGATGACTTTCTGTTTGTCGGTCTTAAAAAAATGTGAACACGCGACCGGCACCGGATGAACAAAAACGATCGCTTGGCAGTTAGAAGCTCGACGCAGGCCGCCGATGTCGGTAGACAAGTTCAAGTTTCATTTATTAGGTATAGCCCTGTGAGCCATTCGGCTCTTGAATCGGGTGCAACCGCAACAAACAGAAAACAAAACCATGAACAAGAAAACATCTTAAAGTGACTATGTGACTATGGGCAAACAGAAAATCCAAGAAAAGACAGCAAAATATTGCAGAAAAAGCACCGTACACCAACACTGTGTGCAAAAATCCCAGTGGGATGCAAGTCAAACAACAACAACAACCACAAGACAACTTAGATTAAGACCATCAGTCTAACTCTGTACTACAACAAACAAACATGGCCAAACCAAAAAACTTTTCGAAAATCCATAAAGCAATGAAACAGTGATCATCGGAAACTGTAACAATGGGATTCATGAACACAATGACTCCGAAGCGTGGGATCGCCATGCGAGCTCGATTTGTTTAATTGCCCGCCTCGCAGTGGGAGCCCGGTGTGCTTTTGGAAAAAAAAAAATGGAATCGAACCTTTCCGTCCCGGTGGTAAGCGGCCTTGTGTGTGGCCACCGAGGCGAACTCTTGTGGGACGGCAGTGACCGAGATCGTCCGATTCAGCATTTCTCATCTCTCATCCGTGGGCCATGCTGAGCTCCCACCCACCCACGTGCAGGCCATTCATTACACAGCTGAGCAAATGAAGGTGACGTTCGAGTGCGGGGCCACGCGAGATGCGAGCCGACTGCGTGTGACCATCGAAGTTGCTGTCGAAGAACACCGGATGAAGTGTACGAGCAGCAACGCAGTCGTGTTTTGACGAACACAAGTCGGCCGGAATGCGTCCGATTTCGTGACATCTCGGGAGGCAAACGGGCAGGGGTTGAGCCTGAAAAGTGCTTGGATGGGACGACCGGCGGGGCACGAAACAGGTGCTATAGGCTGCCCGCGGTGATGCGTTGTCAGCAGAGTGCAGTACAGCAGCAATCCACCGTCAGTTACCTCCCTACTCACTACTACCCCCCCCCCCCGTGTCTATGCGCCCTTCGCCTTCATCAACGCGCACTCGCCAGCGTGGTAAAGTATGGTCAAGTGTAGCCCCCAAGACCCGCACCCCGTGGTGAAGGACCTCACAGCAGTGGACTGACAGAGGTGTGCAGGACGATGTACATGGACAATGGGCAGTGGTGTACATGAACAATGGTGTACATGAACAATGATGTACATAAACAATGAACAATGGTATACATGGAAAATGGTGTATATGAACAGTGGTGTACATGGACAATGGGCAGTGGTGTACATGAACAATGGGGTACATGAACAATGGTGTACATGAACAATGAACAATGATATACATGGAAAATGGGTGTATATGAACAGTGGTGTACATACATGGACAATGGATGATGTATAATTAGCAATGCACTTTGTTGTATATGAACAATGGGTGGTGTTGTACATGAATAATGGACGGTTGTATATGAGCAATGAATGGCGTTGTACATGAACAACGGTTGATGTACAGTATATGAACAATAGTTATTGTGGGATGTGAACAATGGGTGGTGTAGTTTATGAGCAACTGATGATGAATATGAACAATGGGATTCATGAACAGTAGACATTGTACTGTATATGAACAATGGGGTAGCGTCCTACATGAACAATGTGCCATGTATGAACAACTGACGGCGGTATATGAACAATGGACGGTGTTGTATAGGAGCAACCGACGATTGATATGTGAACAGTTGGCAGTGTGCATGCACTTTGGGCAGTGATTTTGACATCGACTTAAATGGGGGTTCGGGGGGGGGGCTTCGGTCTCTGTTACCCCCAACTTTGAGACCGAGATGGACGCGACTCGCATTGATTGACGTGGCTTGTGGAAACGCAGCCGAGACGGACGATATTGGGGGGGGGGGGGGTTGTCCCGGGGGGGGGGGGGGGGTCCCCCTTATCTCCCTGCCCTTTCCGAGCCATTCGAGGGGACAATGTGATAGATGGTCCGGGCATTTCCGAGGCCAAATGTCGCCCGTGTTTTCTATTAATGTTTTGAAGGCCACAGCATCCGCCCATTTTTAAAATAAACAAAGAAAAATCCACCCGCCTCCGGCCCCCTCCACTCCCCGTGTAGACCGGTTGTGGGCAAACGCTGCCAGCGAAAACCCTTCATAATTGGCTACAGTGTACGGTGCGAAAGAAGTTCAACATGCTTACGTACATAACAGTCGGCGGGGACCCGGCATGAATGGTGCCGTGTGGCCAGCACCGTGCCCGGCCACGATCCCCCACAGCTGACGTTTACACGCCGCTGCGGCTGAACACCATTCGAGTAAAGGCCGAGGTCGATCTAGAGGAGAAACCAGAACCAGATATCACCCGCCGTCGACGTTCGCCGTTAGTCGCGATTGGATCCAAGAGGCCGGGTCCGTAGGGCAAAGAAGAGCACGCTCACCACTAAAGCCGGCACTTCCCAAAATTAAAGTTGAATGGGGAAATGGTTTTTTAATCACCCGAATCTTGAATTTCGTCGTCCTCCCCGTTGCTGTTCGAGACGGTCGGGTGGGCGGGTTGCAGTCCACGTGGCCCCTTGGTCCTCCGTGTTCCTTACGGCAGCAATGGAGAATGCAGATTGTGATTGCCCATGCATTCGGACTGAGACCTTGCATGGCCCCAACCCCTAACCCTGTGGCATAGTGACGACATTATCAGGTCGGGGGGAGGGGGGGGCAATCGGTCAGGTGGGGCCCCCCAGTATTTTATTCGTCTCTCACCCAGGCTATTACGTATCGCGCCTCCTCTTGCGTAATCATCATCATCGTCACGCTCACGGACTCAGACATTTAACGCTGTAGGGGCGGCTCCGTCTTATTACAGTTGAAAGCATATCTCGTGGTGATAGTCAAGGGGGGCCCCAACTCGTAGCATTGGCCACTCGGTGAGGGCGTGGGGGGAGGTGGAAAGGTACCCCCTGCCCCCACGCTAGTTATGCTACTGCCCTAACCCCATGGCAGAGGCGGTCATAAAGTTGTAAAAAAAAAGTAACCTTACAAATACAGCTGGGAAAGTAGGCGCACACTTCCCGCTGCCGTCTCCCGGCCACCTTGCAGCCCCCCACGCCTACAACACATGGCAGGCCACTTGCGGCCTTCTATCCGAGTACACTAACGCCTCGATTTTACGTCTTCCCCATTTTTAACGTTGCGCAAAAACGTCGTCACTTTGTTAACGATGCCACCCGGTTTGCGTCGCATCGTCCGTCCTTGCTCGCGATCCGTCGCCTCTCAGCCTTCGCCTCCACCACCTGCTACTGCCCTGTACATCGCTTCGATTTACCGTCGTTTCGATATACGTCGCCGCGCATTTCAGGAACGCATCCTCGACGTAAATCGGGGTTATTATCGGTACAATCTAACCGGGCTTCGCTTCTCAGATCCGGCATAGGTGAACCACTGGACCACTGGAATCTGGAGTAAAAAAAAAACTGCGATTCGCTGCTGGTAAATTGTGAAGTTAAAGTTTATCAAGTCTCCAGCATTTGGCATGTGAACACGACAGAAGCAATGTCCCATTTCAAGACACTATCTGGTAATTAATACCCATTTGTAAAAGGCACACGAGTCTTGGGTGCATTGTACGTACAGCTATCAAATGTGGACCTCAGCATGTAATGACATTGTACGTTCAGTCTTGACATTGTACGTTGTTTGCAGAGATTATACTCGCAATGCCATCGATATGTTCCGACGTACGCGGGGGTCACGTGGTACGCGTGTGGCAGTAGAAGTTAACGGTGAAACAAAAACGGTCACTTGCATCGCTCAATTCCAGATGCGCTTCTGCGGCCGTCTGGAACGCTCTTTCTTCCGGCACCAGAAAGTCACTGGGAGCTTAAAGCACTTTTACATGATCTAGATTTAAAACTAATTTCTCTCGAACTGCTTTCTGTGTCCTCCGCACCTCCGATTAGCACGGTTGGCGATGTACGGCGCGAAAGAAGTTAAACACACGTGAAATAGCCAAACTTCGTTACTTAAAACTGCACGTACAACGATGCACCACCTCACAACCCCTTCACCTCGGCAATTCAATTAAACTGTCGCCATTCGAAATTTGCAATTTGACTCGAAGGGGTCGCGATCAATACATTTTTTAAACAAATGTTCACCGTCTTATTTGTATTGTTTATTCTGCTTCGCTCATTACATCTCTGTTTCGCTGTTGGTTAGCTTCTTTACGAGTGACATTAATTGTTTCATGGACACGAAGCCGAGCGATACCTTTTTCATACTCTTAGTTCTTTCGGTAAAGTCACGTAGGTAAAAAATGAAATTAAAATTAATAAAAATAAAATTAATTTTAATTAAATTTTTTACCTACGTGACTTTACCGAAAGAACTTAGAGTATGAATCCTTGCAGTCACGAAAGCTTCAAGTCTAGAATTGATACCTTTTTGTTTAATAATGCACTTATTTTAGTCGACGCGTATTATTCACAATGGGATCTTCATGAATAAAACAACATCGCTTGTTTACTAATGCGATTCAGTGCATGCATCGTGAGCCTCGCGAATGTAACACTATAACATCGACGAACGGATGCATAGTGTGCCGTTGCAAGAAAAAAAAACACAAAGACGAATTTCACGTGTTACATTGTCACAGTTAGTGTTTTAATTATTATTGATATTATATTATTGCAGAAGTGCGATACAATCCATCACATCGGTCAAAAAAGCCGGGCAAAATTGTCGCCAACTGACGTACTTTAAAAGCCCACGTATTCACGTACAAACCCAATAAGAAAGATTGCACACCGTGTTACACCTGTCCACGATAATAAAACCATGCAATATTTACCGGGTTTCCAATTCACTTGGTCTTTCCACGTAAGTTCCGTTTATTCGAATTCAAGTTGTTTTCGGGGGGGGGGGGGAAATCTCATTTATAGGATGGAGATGGATAAAAATGTACTTGTCTATTTGAAAAATAATTCTTACCTGTAAGCGGGACAAACCAAAAAAATGCGTATTATATTTTACATTGATCGAGGACCCATCCAGCGAATGGGTTTACATTTTAAATGACATACACGTGAATGAGTTCCATCCAATCACAGACGGTTGTAATCATGACATCACTGTCAAAACAGATGACGCCAGAAGTGGTCATTCAAGGCCAACAATTCCCTTCTGAGTTTACTCAATCTATTTAAATACATCTTGTCTGGAATACGCCGAGTAAGTTCGCACAGCTTATTGGAAACCCAGTTACTGAAATGCTCCTTGGTAGGACGCAACACCAGGGCAACTGCTTTAAAAAAATCAGTAAAAATCCACAAATTAGCTCGTATAAATTAAGCTAACAATAGTAAACGTCTCTCCGTAACGACGATTTGAACAGAAAAAAAACAATCTGTGACAGGCTGTATATGAATTCTAACACTACATTTGACACTTGATATCACATTGCATGCATCCGACCAACGCTATTTGTTTTCAAGCTACGAATAGTATTATGAATAATACAAGCGTGTGTGGGTGCATACGCGTAATGTACGTGTGGGCACAGTGAAAGAAAAACAGACAGACGTTTGTAGCGCACGTCTGATGCTCGAATGTGCCCATGAGTCCACTATATGCCCCAGTGCAATTGTACCACCTGCACATTCTCGACAGCCGTGCCCTCTGGCAGCAGTGGCTACGATTGTGGTTTTGTCGCTGGCCAAATCGAGCTTGTGTCAAGCCTCGACCTATGCCGGATTGAGCTTGGCTAGTGCTTGTATGGGAGGCCACCGGGGTTTGTCAGATGTTCTCGGCCATGGTGCTGTGAGGTAGCCAGGAGATGGCAGTGATGAGTGGTAGGGACGGTAGGTTTTCTCCGCGCGCCCTGGTTTTCTCTCGCACGCGGCCAAAACCCTCTCTAAAGGTCAAACGTCCCCATTGCATGACCCCGCTGAGGGAGAGCTGACACTCAGTGGAGCTTGGTGCCCTGATTCGTCGGCCATGTTGCTTTGGGTCATTCTGGGTGGGGGGAAATGTCCCCGTGGGTTTCAACTCCTCTGACCTGTGGCCATTTTAAACTGAATGAAGGTGACAGTACACATTGTGTAATATGTACAGAGGGCTACGAGTGAATGACTGAGGGATTCATGTACATTATGATGGTCTAGGTTTATGGTGCTGAAATTTGGTTAGAAAAAATATGAAATATTCATTACTTGAACAAAAAAATCTTTAAATACAAAAAGTTACAAAGTCATTCACTTCTGAACGGAGGCTTACGAAAGTTTGTATCTGGAGGTTATTGAGGTGGATGATTTGAAAACATGGCAACTTTTAAGAATGGAAATTGCCCGTGGTTATTTTGGAAGGGCGCGCCGCTAAAGCTGATAGAAAGCTGGCACCCCCCCCCCCCCCCCCCAGTGACCAGTGCGCGGTACAGTGCATACGTACAACCCCCCGTTGTGTCAGTCCACTGCTGGATGGGAAACTTCACCACGCTTTGTTGGCCGTGAGGAATATATGTTGACGATACTTCACCATTCTAGATTTGAAGTTTTCGTGACTGCAAAGATCCATACTCTTTGGTTCTTTCGGTAAAGTCACGTAGGTGAAAAAATGTAATAAAAAATAAAAAAGAATCATTTTATTTTTATTTTTGTTTTATTATTTTCGATTATATGTTTTCACCTACGTGACTTTGCCCAAAGAACCAAAGAGTATGGATGCTTCACAACGCCGGGGTGTTTAAGGTGGGAGGATTGAGGAACCATGAATATTGCTGCACTGCCCTCTGCTGCTGCTGCCCACAGCAGCCTATAACTCCTGCGATGCGAGCACGCTGGTCACACATTGAAGCCATTGTCCAGGCTCGCGCCTGCTTAGCTTGCGAGATCGTGGAGCGTTCTGGGTGGCCTTGGTCACAGGCGTATATAATGGGTGTGTGTGTGTTCTGTCGAAATGCCAGTGCTGCTCAGCCGTGTCGTGCGCGGATGAATCATGGGGACGTGATGGCCGCCATGTTTTATGAGGCTGACGTTGTAAATCAGGAAATAAATTAAGTATCTAATTAATCATTCCAAGGAGCATTGAAGTGACCTCCAAATTGGCACTTCTGTTTACACATTAAAATCAAAGCGTTTCAGTTTCACTGGATACCCCGACTATTATAATAAAAAAAACAAACCCTTAAAGTGGCAAACGCGTAAATATGCATACATATTTAAAGTGCATGTGATTCGGAAGCAATAACACACGTACACATATTAAACCATACTCGCATTTGTAAAGTGAACTCTATAAATAAATAATTTGGTAACACGATAAGGTAAAGTTATCTTAACATATGTAAAGTTACAGATTACGCTGATTTATCCTGGCAGTTGAAAGAAACGTCCATAAGAGTGTTTTTGGGTTAGATCACGTAAAATATGAATGTGTCGTTAAACCCGTCACCACCCGACACAGCCAATTAGTAGTATGTCGTGTAAACGAAGCGTGCCAATTCGTTACAAGTGCAGCTCACCGGTGTGTTGGAGAGTAAACCCACAACGTTTACAATTCGAGTGCGACGTTTCGCCGGTAATTACAACTAGCATCATCAGGCGGCAGCCAGAGTTGTGGAGCAATCCGTTTCCTTCTTAAATAGAGGGATAGATGTGATGACGTCACTTGCAAGCCAATCAGATGCGAAGGCCAGAGGGGAGGGGTCAATGTGTGCATATGAATTACAATAGATACCCATTACCGGTTGGGTTATTCGTAGGGTAACCAACATACAACATGCATGTACACCGTGCTTGTACATGCTGCCGCTTGTTTTCTTCCGTCACACTCGAATTGTAAATGTTGTGGGTTTACTCTGCAATGCACAACCGGTGTTGCTGTACTAGTGACGAATTGTCATGTTGTGTTCACGTAAGAAACTAAACTAATTGGCTTTGTCGGGCGGTGGCGGGTTTAAAGACACATCTAGAATTACGCGATCTAACCGCCCCCAAAAAACCTCTATAGATAACATTGGTCGTGAAAGCCTTCGACGTATTCAACCGAAAGAAACGTATTCTCTCAGGTGACGTCACACATCCGTCACCTTTACAACGATACAACTATAATACTACGCAAGCCCTTTTGTCAATCCACTGCTGGATGAAGGCCTCCCCACGCCGTGTCAACCACGTGGTTTGCTTCAACCATCCGTCACCCTGCCGGTCAGTGCGAGTTGGTGAAAGAGGCACAGATTCAGGTATCAACTTGCCCTCTCGTGTTACCCGTTGGCTGGACATTGAATCCAGCTCAATGGGTTCATAGCGCAGCGTGCTCACCACTCTGCCACCACTCTGTAACCTCACCACCACCACCCCCCCTCTTCACCAACGATATACCGATTATAAAATTACAGATTGCGATATAAATACTATTTTGTTGATTGCGATATGGAAATACTTTGGGTTGGGTCACCAATTTTATGCAAAATAATTTTTCAGACTTTCGCAAAGTTGGCCCCTAGCCATTTTCCAGCCAAGTTTGGCAACCTGCCCCCTTGAGTGTGTAGTAGCCTCCAAATTCAGAGTGCAGATCGATGCTCCACGATCTGCAGAGATCAAATGCCTCCCAGATTGTTTCGCTAACACGGAGTAGGAGGGGGGGGTAACCTTCACCCAACAGGCTGGACATTTGTGTAACGCCGTGGTTCACAAAGCTGAAATTAAACGGTGCATCCTGCCCAACTTTTGTAACTCTGTTGCAAGCTTCAAATGTTGTGCTTGCTTCGGTTTTTGCAACGCGCTTGTTGCGTTAACCGAGCCATTAAAATCAACGACAGCCCAAGTCGGCGATCGTCAGTAAAGCATCGACAGGCAGGGTCTGAGCCCCCGCATCCGCCCTCACTTTCTCTCCTGGATGGCCCAAATCCAGAAAGTCTGGGAGAGGGGATCTCGGCAAGGAAAGGGAAACTTTTGGATTGAAACATATGCAGACATAAAAAAAGGAATATCTTAAAATTAACCTGGGTGTGTTACTCACCTATATAAATACACAATAATCAAGTTTAATTATTAATCTTATCCACATTGTCCTATACGTAAATAAAACGCGTGCCATGTAGGAATTCATTATGACCAAGACCACGTGGTTCGAACTCGGTCAGTCCAAGCGCGGCGAGGTTAACTTTTTTCAAACTTAAAGAAAAACCACGCTCGGACACAAAAGCTGCTCCAAAGTTGACCACGGCCTCGTGCAAACTTCCTTTAGCCCGCAGCGCCCCTCGGCGGACCGCGATTATAATGACGAACATCAAACAGCCCTTAAATCATCACGATACCGGTCGGACAAAAAAAAAGAGCATCAACCCACCAGTGCCACGTCGACCGCGGCGTTTTGCTCGGGGCCGCCCTGCGCCTCTGGCAATGCTACTTTTGTTGCGTTTTGAACGAAGCAAATAAAACAGGACGACAATGTTGTTGTTTATGCGGTGCAGCACGCGCCGTAGCAATGACAACAACAACAACAACAAAAACAACAAAACAACAAAAACTCGACGCCGTTTCAACTTTAGCTTCTTTACGAATGGGCGACGCGGGGCAATGTGGTGCAATTAGAGCCGACTACGACACAATCACCGATCCCTGCTGATGTGAAGCCAATCAAATAAAGGCGGGTGGGGGGTGGGTGGGTTACACGACGACTCGATCTAAGTATTGCCAATACATCGATTGCCAATGACTAGATTGCCAATACACCCAGTGCCAATTCATCGACATTTCCAAGATGAATTCCCGATCCACTCTGTAGCTGGCTGTGCCGGTTCGACCGAGTCGCATCGCTACGAATTCAAACATCTTTTCGCAATCCGCAACGACCCACATGTGGCGGGCAAATACATGACGCCACGTGCTTGCTTTGCTTCCAAATACAATTGATGGGGGGGGGGGGGGTGGCGACATCTCTGATCGGTGATTCTTGTTGTTGTTGTAGTCGGCTGTCCGATGTCATGGCTCGATCACAACGCCCCGCGTGGCTGAGAACTTCACCCTGCAGACCGGCAGGCTCCGCTCAAAAGTTCTGTTGGCGTCGCTTTTTCCCGTCGATGGCGTCCAGGATGGGCTGCCGCTTGGCCTGGTAGCGTCGGCGCAGCTGCTCCAGGTCCTGCTCCATCAGGGGGTCGAGAGCACCCAGTCTCATGTGCAGCTCCTCCAGGCTCAGGTTCCTCAACTGTGGTGGTGGTGGAGGTGGAGGGGGAGGATCATTGAACAGAATTTAGAAATTTCGATTTAAAGCTTTCGTGACTGCAGGGATTCATCTTCTTGGTTCTTTCGGTAATGTCACGTAGAATGGAAATAATAAAATTATAAAAATAAAACATTATAAAATAATATAATATAAAATAAAATGTAGAAAATTTGGTACAACCTGTTCTCCTATAAGGCGTGTTTTTTATATTTTATAAAGGCGAATTGTAGATACAGGGGTGCTTCAAATAAAATGTTAACACTTATGTGGGCTATCGTTTTTGATGGGAAAAATAGAACGGATAATACTACACTGTAACATGACAACAAAATAATGTATGTTGAATCACTTCAAAAAGTCACTCTCCACTTGTCCGCCATCATCGTCAACACGTGGCCTGGAATCTTCTCCAGGTGGTCTCCAGAGCTCGGAGGCAGCATATTTATCGTGGCATTATTTGAAGCACCCTGTATAATGCGATCAATGTATTTAGGAGAACGTATTTTCACGTATATATAACGCGGATGCGAATTGGAAATAACGCGATCGAGTGAACGGAACGACGTCACGCGAGTAGGAATAAGCAGTCGTACGGCCGCCTCGGCATAGCAGCGTCACACAACAAGGCACTGGGATGCTGCTGGATGCTTCTAGATGCTACCCACGCGCCTCGGTCTTTGATCGACCCGCGTACGCATCTCACGTGTTATCGCGCACTGTGCTTTACCCACTATTTTATATTATTATAACGCGATTTATCCATCACGTGGTACTCCTGCCACGCTTATAGCAAGGCAAGGCTTCTACCGCTAAGGTGCTCTTTCGCAGGAATAGTTTGCATTGCTTTCACCCAAGGGGGGGGCGATGCCGCTATACGGTAATAACACTGAAGTTGCAGCTATTTATTAATATTGGGAAACTTGGGACCATGACACCAGCACACGATGGCCTGCTCATTTCAAATGACATCACAGGAAATGTACTGCCCGCCGTGCATATGTACAGCTACACACGGTTCACTCAGTGGTGTTAACCAGAGAACGCTACGAGGGGATTGACACGTGATGTACACAGCATTCCCAGCTTGAATCGGTGCTTTCCATCGCGTGGGATGTGTTCAGGAAAAGTATTGGGCACCCGCGGCGTGTAAAATTCTTGATTAGACAAACGACAATTTATGGAGGAGAATGGCGAAAATTTAAAGGTTCACGTCCCATGGTGGGTCACGAAGAAAATTGGGTTTGGGAATCTTAGCACACACAGCCGGCCTGTGTCCCATCACAAGGTGCACTATACACCGGTACGTACACTAACATTAAAATAAAACCTTTTAAAGGCACGCATTGTGACTCAAACCAAGACGACAAGAAGAGCAATTCTCTTCGGATTATGTAAAAAAATAAAACTCCTATTTTAAGAGCGGCAATGCTTGTGGTGAATACGAGTCGGTGGCCCTGAATCAATAACGACACGAAAGCAGCAGTCCTTAAAGACCCGACCCCTGCCCTAGACAACGGTTATGATGAGGCCTTAATGTATCGCTGAATATTTCGAGGTCGCCCGTTCACCCGACGAGTAGAAACCCGACGGACAAAGACAGCTCCACCGGGGGCTGGACGCGCTGTGCCGGGCGCGGACATTCCCTACGGCGTTGGCGAAGCTTTCGTGACTGCACGGATTCATACTCTTTGGTCTTTTTCGGTAAAGTCACGTAGATAAAAAATAAAATAAATAAAAACAACTAAATTAAATCACGACGTTTCGGGCGCAACACAAACGTCCCACCTGATGTCGGACGCTTGTGTTGCGCCCGAAACGTCGTGATTTAATTTAGTTGTTTTCATTTATTTAATTTTTTACCTACGTGACTTTACCGAAAAAAAACAAAGGGCAAGAGCAGACAGACCCGGCAGAAATGAACTCCGTGCACCTCTCGTCGATCGCGCTTCACCCCCATCGCAGCAGCATGACGGGGAGGCGCTCTCTGTACCAAACAGCAGCCCCATTGGGCCAAGTGCGGTCGTGATTAGCCTCATGGGCAAGCCGCTCGTCGGCAAAGGCTCACGCGGCGCGCGCGTTGGAGTAATTGGGACATGAAACCCGCCGGGTCGATTTGCTATTGAAACGTGGGGGGAGGGGGGAGTTAACGGTAGCCCCGTTTAGCGAGCGCCTCTTAAATCGTCTGGGATGCGTTGTTTTTATTTATTATTATTTTAAATAAGCCCGTGCTTGGCTCCGGCTCTGGCTCTTCAACAATGAGCTCGAGAATATTTCGGCCTGGAAGTTGTGGTTTCGAAAAGGTAGGCTGGGCTTGCCTGGCAATCGGGCTCGATCCGCGCGTGGGAACAATGCACTGGGGCAGGCGAGTGGGTTCCAGTGGAGTACAATGTAAAAATAGACGGGGGGGGGGGATATCTTGATATGCAAATTATTTTGTCAAGGCACTCTTCTTCCCCCTCCAACCCAGCTTAAATATACGCTCCAAGCGTGGTGGTGTTTTATTCTTCACCTGAGGACGGCTGCTTGCGTTGTGGCCGAAACGTCGTGAGAATTATTTTATTATGTTTTATTATTTTTTATTTCCCTTCTACGTGACTTTAATGAAAGAACCAAGAAGATGAATCCCTGCAGTCACGAAAGCTTTAAATCGAAAGATATCTTTAGAGTTTAACAGAAGATGGGTTCTTTTCTTTTTATGTTGGGGAGGTGGGTGGGGGATGTTTTTATGTCTGTGCAGGGAAAGCAGAGATAGACAGCTTCAGGTCAGTGACAGGCAGTCGCGCCTACGATACGTACGGTGCGAAATAAGTTCGACATACAGGACATACATCACGTTTGCTTGTCTGCTGTGTAGCAGCTGCGGGTGCTTAAACTTAAACTAAACTTCTAAATATTACCAGGTAAGACCCACTTAGCTACATAGCTCTTTTTCATAAGAGATGTGGTCACAACGAAGTGGCTTATCGTGTGGAAATGTATAGCAGTCAAATACTCTTAAGCGCGTGTTGTTTCTAAATGTGGAGGGGAAAAACTGGAGGACCCGGAGAAAAATCCACGCGACCACGGGGGGGGGGGGCGGGGGGGGGGGAGAGACACGCAAACTTCAAATATCCAGCAGGCGTCAGGGTCGGAATCGAACCCACGACCGCCTGCATAGGGGCCGTCCATAAATGACGTCACGCACCTGGGGGGGGGGGGTCAGATATTTGTGACGATGTGTGACGAGGGGGGGTTTGAGAAATGTTACGTCACATCAAAATGCGCAACTTTTAATAAATATAGACAACACGTTCTACTTACTTAAATAGACTTTTGAATACATGACAATAGTTTAAAGCGATTTACAGCATGTTCTATTTGGGGGGGGGGGCAGAGCTTTGTGACGTCATTTGAGGGGGGGTCTGACTTCTTGTGACGCCGTGTGACGAGGGGGGGGGGGGTCAAAAATCGTCCAAAATCGCGTGACGTCATTTATGGACGGCCCCATAGCAGGCGATGGAGTTAACATTTTGCCATCGCGAAGCCCTGAGGTGTGGCATCGACGGTTTAGGCCGTGATGGACATCTTCAGCTTGAGCCGTGAAAACGAAGACGCTTCACACACACACAGAGAGAGAATCGCAGGTGGAGCACAAGAGGATAGTCTTGAGCCTCGATCCTCACCAGGAATTGGGGGGCCTCATCAGTGCGGACAGGCGGTGGACGGGAATTGCATTAATTCTAGATTTCAAGCTTTCGTGACTGCAAGGATTCACATTCTTAGGTTTTTTTCGGTAAAGTCACGTAGGAAGCTTGTGTTGCCTCCGAAACGTCGTGATTTTTATTTTATTTTTATTTTACTTTTATTAATTTAAAATTTTTACCTACGTAAGAATATAAAAATGGGACTTGCATTGGTGGTGAGGGCTGCAGTAGAGAAGGAGCGACCTCCCCGTTTGAGCGCAGGTTAACAACTGGAGGCTGTCACAAAACTCTGGCAACGCTCCACACACACGAGGCGGAGTTTTATTGCCGGCGTGCGGCTAGGCAGCGTTGCGTCGGAGAGAAACGCAATTTATTTCTCGGGGAAACTTCATGGCGTGGCCTTGCACGCTAAACTCCCCGCGTCGTTGCGAATTCCGCTCGAGTAAAGTGCTGTTCTCCGTGTTGTAATGCCCACGGATGGGGCTTTTCGCATCTGTGTATCGGTTCAGTGGCCCTGGTGGATAAAAGCAAGGCGTGTTTGGTCCCTGCAGACATAAGTGAAACGCGATGTGCTGATAAACCCAGTGACCTGAACGCGATTCCCCGGACACGGCTAACACAGCGTTGAAATACGGTGTTTTTTTCTGGAAGACTTTGCTGTTTTCCCCAGGATTTTTCTGTTGCGTGTAGTCACTTTAAGATGTTTCTTGTTCATGTTTTTGTTTTGTCAAGAGCCATCATGGCTCACAGGGTTATACCTAATAAATGAAACTGAAACATCTGGACCGGTCACCAAAACCCGCTATCGACCATTGCGACGAAGTAGCGGATTTAACAAATGTCCGTAAATTATGATTATTTCAAGGTTGTGTTACAAGGTGGTGATTAGTTGCCCATTCGCCACGCTCCATTGTTCTGGCCCTGCGATCTAGCCAAGCGTGGATTCGATTGTCGTGATTTCTGGGGTCGCAACTCTGTTTTCATTCCAAAGCTGCTGTGAATGTTGGCACCCCTAAGCACCTGCATCGACCAATCCAAAGCACTTTAAGACGACGTTTGAAAATCATCGTTTCTTAGGCGCGCGATTCGACGCGTGCGTCGTGAGCGTAAGAAGTGCCCCCTGCTTGCAGCTACACCGAGAGCGGGAGAGCGACGAAGAGGAACACGTGGATCGGAGAACTAACACAAATTAGAGACGTCGTATTGACAATAAATAAAAGTCAGTGGCCGTGAGCCGGACATGCACGTTGAACTTATTTCGCGGCGTAGGTACCCAGCCAATCGGCGGTGCGGGGGAAG